CGGAAGGCAGAGCAGCTGGAGTGCCGCCAGATAGGTCCCGTAGCGCTGCCCCTCGGCGCTGAGGGACCAACCCGGCAGCCCCCACAGCTGCTCTGCCCCAGGCGTCCCCGAGAGCAGCTGGGGTGCTGCCAGGTTGGTCTCGCAGCGCCAAGGGTCAGCGCTACCGGACCAACCCGGCAGCACTCCAGATGCTCTGCTGCAGGGGTCCCGATTCAGCCACTGCTGAAACTGACCAGCAACGGCTGAATCAGGGACGCCTGGGGCAGAGCCGGACTATCAGAGGGGGGGGGGGCTATGAGGAGTCTGGGGTGGCACCCCCCCACCCCACCCCAGACCCCTCATAGCCCCCCCTTCCGATAGTCCGGCATATATGATAATCCGGCACCCCCTGAGTCCTAAAGGTGCCGGATTATCGGAAGTTTACTGTAATACCAGTAGGAAAAAAATCTACATGGATGGAAATGAGCAGAATCTGGCAAATCGACACAAGTAAACAAAATGTTCTGTGGTCCACACATAGAATCCTGATGGGTCGCCTGTGGCCCATGGGCTTGCCCACCATTGTTACAGGGAGACTGATCTGCCAAGAAAACATGGGCTTCTCTAGAGTCCAGACTTTAACTCGAACAGTTACAATATGCAGAAATACAACTTGTCTTCTCTAGCGTTTAAGACTGTTAGACCAAGTGAGCTATAATCTAATGCCTTTCAACTTAAAGAAAAAACTTGGGCTCCTGAATCAGCATTTAGCAATTACCAGTTCCCACAATTGGACAGCTATTATTAGAAAGAAAGTGAAGTGAAAGCTCTGCTTTTTTGCATCTTACAGTAGTCACCAATATCAGATGGCAAGCCTGTCCAGGCCACTGTGGAACTAACTGAGTTTCCTAGAACTGCAACCAAGCATCATTTGTGCACTGTGCTAGCCTCAGTTGAGGTTCCTGAAGTCAGGCCTTCTCTGATATAAGACACGAGTAAAATAAAGGGGACTAAAGAGCCATTTAGGGATATAATATAATGCTTTAACTAGGAAGCCACATTTTAAAAAAAATATTCAAAAAATTAGGGCCATCCTGAGCATAAATATTTTCTAAATATCACATATTCATATGACTGAATCTTCTTTCCAGTTTGCTATTTTTTCCACATGAAGTATGATCATACAATTACTTTATCTTTAGAAAAATGGCCAGAATGAGTGTATAAAAATAGAACAGATGTAAAAGGTATTTGGTAAACTAATCTGGATGCTAACTTCCATAATTACAGACACTAGAGAATGTAGGTATTATTCTAAAAAAATTAAAAGCAAAACCATAGATAGATAGAAAAGCTTTATACTCAAACTAATGCAAAATTTCATAAGACTAGTGAATGCTTGGTTTGGCTTTTAGAAATAAAGTTTCCTTAACACTGACTACGAACCTCCTCCTAACAGTGATTCTTATGTTTGAATTATTAGATCTGTATAAACAAGGCATATGCTTAGCTTTGTCAAAAATATTTCAAATGTCTCAGTCAATTCACTTCTCTGCAGAAGATGTAATTATCCACAACTTGGCCTGAATGACTAAAACTGTAACAAATTGCAAAGTATGTTTCTTATAAGCCTGAAGTTACTTAATTTTCAATTGAAACTACCTATTTTACCAGAGAGTTATCATGTTTAGTTAGTGGACACAAATTAAACTGACCTTCTGTAGGATTAGCTGGCTGATCTTTGTTTATTGCTGTCTGAATGTTACTGAAGGAGGCAGGTGGGCCACATTGCTGCAATACTCCAATGGCATTACAAAACTGATCCGCAAGCTATAAACAAGATAAGAGAGAGTGTAAATCATACTATCATTTTACTCTGTATTTAAACTTTTTGGCCCCATCAACTACTACACAGAATTGAACTTCAGTAAATGGAAATAGTTAACCCACGTCTGTGACGAAGGCCCAAATCTGGTCTTCTGTGCAAGTGGATGCCTCTGACTGCACTGTGAGTCAATGCCAATGCAACTTCACAGAAGGGATATTATATATAGTGTAAGGCTACATCTACACTGGCAGCTTCTTGAGAAAGAACTGTTTTGCGGAAGCGTACTTGTGCAAAAAGTCTTCCACAAGAGCGTGTCTACACTGGCATGTGCGCAAGAGCGTCTATGGCAGTGTGGATGCTCTCTTGCGCAAGAAAGCTCTGATGGCCATTTTAGCCATAGGGGTTTCTTGCTCAAGAAAATCATTTTGCCTATCTACACTGCCTTCTTGTGGAAGAGCTCTTGTGCAAGAGGGCTTATTCCTCGTGGAGAGAGGACTAACTCTTCCGGAAGAAGCCCTATTTTCTGACGCTAGACTGTAATATACTTGTGGAAGAATGCACATGCAGCGTAGACGCCCAGCAAGTTTCTGCGCAAGAACAGCTGTTCTTGCGCAAGAAGCCGCCAGTATAGACGTAGCCTAACTGAATAGTGGTACAACCACATGAAATCTTAGTGGGTACATGACTATTTGATAGTCCCTGGGGCAGGGCCAGCAGCCAGTGTGCTCCCTGCCCCACTCCCAGGGAGTCCCCTGACATTCCGCACTGCTGACCAACTTAAATGTATCCCCCAAATTAAAAAAACATCGTAAGAGAACCAAAAAAGGGACACCATGGCTTAACAACCAAGTAAAAGAAGCAGTGAGAGATAAAAAGGCATCCTTTTAAAAGTGGAAGTTAAATCCTAGTTAAGAAAACAGAAAGGCGCATGAACTCTGTCAAATCAAATGTAAAAATATAAGAAGAAAGCCAAAAAGGAGTTTGAAGAACAAACAGCTAGCCAAAAACTCAAAGAGCAATATCAAAAAATGTTTAAGCACATCAGAAGCAGGAAGTCTGCTAAACAACCAGTGTGGCCACTGGACGATCAAGATGCTAAAGGAGCACTCAAAGATGATAAGGTCATTGCGGAGAAACTAAATTAATTCTTTGCTTTGGTCTTCATGGCTGAGGATGATAGAGAGAGTCCCAAACCTGAGTGATTCTTTTTAGGTGGCAAATCTCAAGAACTGTTCCAGATTGAGGTGTCATTAGAGGAGGTTTTGGAACAAACTGATAAATGTATCAGTAACAAGTCAAGGGGACCAGATGACATTCACCCAAGAGCTCTGTAAGAAGTCAAATGTGAAACTGCAGAAATATTAACTGTGGTTTGTAACCTATCCTTTAAATCAGCTTCTGTACCCAATGACTGGAAGATAGCTAATGTGACACCAATATTTAAAAAAGGCTGTAGAGGTAATCCTGGCAATTGCAGACCGAGAAGTCTGATGTCAGTACCAGGCAAATTAGTTGAAACTATAGTAAAGAATAGACTTGTCAGACACACAAATGAATATAACTTGTTGGGAAAAGGTCAACATGGTTTTGGTAAAGGGAAATAATACCTTACTGATCTACTAGAGTTCTTTGCCATGGGTTAAGAGTTAGTTGTCTTGGGAAAAGAGGGAAGGTCCTCTCGTGGAGTGGTAACTGGTTAAAAAACAGGAAACAAAGAGTAGGAAGAAATGGTCAGTTTTTAGACTGGAGAGAGGCAACTAGTGGTGTTCACCAAGGGTCTGTCCTGGGACCAATCCTATTTAACCTACTTATAAATGATCTGGAAAAAGGGGTAAATAGTGAGATGGCAAAATTTGCAGAGGATACTGAAATTTTTCAAGATAGTTAAGAACAATGCAGACCGTGAAGAGCTTCAAAAGGTATATTGGCATTGGAAAAGGGTCACAAAGGGTCACCAAAAATGATTACCGGGGGTGGGGGTTGGAATGGGTGCCATATGAAAAGAGATTAAAAAGACTGTGATTTATCAATTTATAAAATAGGAGAATAAGGGAGACTATGATAGAGGTCTATAAAATCACAAGAGGTATGAAGAAAGTGAATAAGTTATTTACTTCTGACCATAACATAAGAACTAGGGTCACCAAATGAAGTTAATAGGTAGCAGATTTAAAACAAACAAAAGGAAGATTTTCTTCATGCAGCAGTCAACCTGTGGAACTCCTTGCAGGAAGATGTTGTGAAGACCAAGACTTTAACAGAGCTCAAAAAAGAACTAGATAAATTTATGGAGATTAGGTCCATCAATACTTATTAGCCAAAATGGATAACAATGGTATTCCTAACCTCTGGTTGTCAAAGTCTGGAAATGGATGACAGGAGAGGGCTCACTTGATGATTACCTATTTTTGTTCAGGTAAGTGAGCTCATCATGGACATGGGCACCAGCTTCGTCCCCACCTTGCTGTCTCTGACACAGAGGCAGCAAGGGGGAGGATGCGTGTAATCAACAAGATTTAAACGATAAGCATAGGTTCAGTGGTTAATTGTGGAGTGGTCTACATGATGACATCCCTACTTCATAGATCAACTGGCAGGATCAGTGACTAACTAAGATGCTAACATCAGTACACTCAAGTCCAGGACATACATTTGGTTCCTAAATCATAATCTCTGTCGGCTGCTGCAGAGATAAAATGTTTTCGCCCTTTTCCTCAGCCACATGGGCAGACGCTGCCCAGCCTTTTACTGGTGAAATTAAGTGGGAAAATTATTGTAATCAGTGATGGCGGTGGGGGGAGCAGTGTCCTCTCACCAGCACCTACCACCGAGGCAGAGTAGATACATAGATGCATTCCCCACGGCAGCCTCCTTCCAGCCCCATACCAGCCATTCCAAGAGTGAGCCGAGAGACCGACTTGAAGAGCGCACCGAGGCAAAGGGCCTCTGGGAGCGTCTCCCTCAACAAGCGGCCTCGCCACAGGCACAGCCAGCAACGGCGCCCAGCTCCCCCGCTGTGGACGGCGCGCGCTCAGCGTTGGCGCGCGGGCTGGGACAGGTCAGTTCCCGGGCGGCGCGAGCTCAGCGCGGGGCGCTTCTAAAGCGGGGAGCGGATCCCAGCTGAGGGACAGAGCTAGGCGCGAGGCGCGAGACACAAGCCAGCCCGCCCCCTCCCCCTCCGGCGCGTCGG